CATATTGTTGTTTGTAACGATTCTTCAAATATGTAACCAAAATTATCTACACAAAAACTGATATAATATTATACATATACGAAAACTGTATTCATGTATGGAGTTGTAGAGTCTACCTGTAGTATTTTTTTTGATAAACGATATTTATAATTTATTTATTTATTCGATCAAATTTCGTTTAAAAAGAAAAAATAAAATATTTTGGATCAGTGTTGTAGCCCAAACAATAGGGCATATTGAGCTTTGCCATAGTTGAAATCTACTAGAACATCAGAATAAATTCAAACTTTGCCGTTTTATTCGGGTGCGTTTAAACCGAGAGATCTGTTCAACGGTGTCCCCGAAATCCGTCAGCACATCGCATCTGTACGCCCTTTGTAAGCGGAGATAATATCAATGCAGGCAATAAATATAATAACAATAATATTTTTTACAACAAACACAACAATACGTGGGGAATGTCAGCCGCCTACCGTAATGAAGATGTAATGGGGCAACGCGATAGCTAATCCTTTGCCGAAGGGGGGTGGCCGAAGCTGAAAGGATGTCACACAAATATGACAGATATTGTGACAGCAGTGCATCGACCTAACACTCCCGCGAGGGCGAGTTTCAAACCTTTAATAATCATTCGTATTTCAAAATGTCTATATAATAATATATTTAATTTCGTAGATCCACGCATCAGCTCCTGCTGGCTGGTCTGGCTCCGGGACATTAATACAACTTTACGGAGGACCGGTGCAGAACAGAAGTATTAATACTTTTGCGTTTCGTAAGTGAGTTAACCGAGATCTACTATCTCAAAGGCAGCGAACACAACAATAATAAAACAAAATGTCTTAGATGTTCATCAACGGTCTAGTCACCTACCATCGAGTTAGCCAGCCGTTCTTTTGCCACCTTTTCAGTCATAGAATTAAAAATCAACGTTGGTAAAAGTAAAATTTCGTACAGTCAGATTTGCATTAACAAAAATTGCCCATTAAATAAAAGATGAGCCTACCACAGAACATTACGAGCATATTATTCCGGTGAGACGCTTCGCAGCCAGCGAAAAGTAAACAGTGTGCGATAAAACATTCATGACCAATTCCCTTTGTCAGTTCCAAAGCAAATATTAACCGAATTGAAAGGACCGACATTTTTTAACATTGGAAACGTCATAAATATGCAATTCTAATTAGCCGTATCCATTACTTGTCAATTTCGCATCGATTATGACAGATGCGGCCCTGTGAAATAATATCGTCACGAAATTATGCACGAATTGATTGACACATGACTGTCGTAGGTCGTCATAAACTAGTTCTATCTCATAAGATATTCATTTGTAGCGTGATTAATAATTGCGTTTAACTAATTTTACATATTGGGTCATGAAATTAACAACCCTTCGGTTATTTCTTAGACGATTGACGCGATATCTCTTTATTTTTTTAACAGCCATCATGATTTTACGCGCGTAAAGACCTGTGAGAAAATGTTTATCAATCCAATAAATCCAATGAGGGATTATTATTCAAACATTGAGAAAGCAGATGCGTTTCAAGTTATATCGCGACGATTTTATTCGATAAAAAGTGCCCAATCAAGTTTTTACTTCAATGTACAACTTTGGTGACATCTCACATTGTAAAAATTGCCGTTGAATTTTTTTTTCTTTTCATACAAAAAAGTGTAAATTTACGGATAAAAAATTAGTTGACGGGGGTCACGCCTTAAGTTGAAATTAAGGTTTATTCGTACGCAACCTTTCATTGCACTTTGACATGGGATGCTCACATAAAAAGCCCCGTGATTACCTGGATACGTTTTTTTTTTCTCCGAGATCTTTATAAAGATATCAAAATTTTTGAGACGGTGGTTAGATAGCGTCGCCGCTTCGACGACTTAACAATAACGGCACCCCTTTCCTTTACCTAGACACGTGAGATTATCGAATTGATTGGATTCCAACAAGTCTTCCTCTACTGGGGTGACATTGGTAACACGGAAATCACTTTACCGTTCGTTCCATTCCGAACCGAAAATCAAAACGAAATCTGTGGAATGTCATTAAATAGAAATACAAAATGCAAAAATCCTCCGCGAAGTTTCTGCGGAAACCGGAGAGAGAGAATTGCTTTAGGAGGAAAACAAGGAACAGTTTCTGCTAGCGGCGATAATCAATCGTTTCGGCCAACGCCGGGGTCAGTGAGTCGGCAAGCCATCAAAGAGTCCTCTCGCCGGCGACGCGGAAGCCACTTGGTCAGCTGTAAGCTTTGCGGTTTATTAAGGCGCCCACAATTGACACAATCGCACCGAAGTCACGCGCGTTCGCCGCGTCGTTAGACCGTGTGCAGTGCGAACGAATAATGCGCTCGACTTCAATCCACCGATTTTATATACTAGTGAGAGTATAAAAATCGCTACTGCAGGACGTGTTCATAATTAACACGTAATTTTTAATTAATTAATTAACATAGATTTTATTTATCTCAAAAAATATTATTAAGCAGTACGTTTACCTTATCTAAGATGGGTGCCGCAGAGTGAAACTTTTCTAAAAACGATGTCACGAAATCCTAGCTACGTTAATGATTCAGTGACTATTTTTGTCAAGTATTTGTTTTTTGGTAACTTAACTTTTGGCGCCTCTTTTAATTTTTTTGTAATTCTAATATATCCAATGGCACTTGCACAAGATACGACGAAGAATCTATCGACATATCGTTCATCAAATTCGGTTCAATCCCGTAGTGGTTACGAGGGAACACGGGCACGAACATACAAACATAAATACACACGTAAAACACTTTTCACATTCTGCTATCACCTTACCTTTACAATAACGAATCTCTGTTACCATTCGCGTACGTATGTAAGTAATCACAGCAACATTCGTTGTTCATTCCAAATTAAAGACCAAAATACGAATGGCCCATCTCGAATTACTTGTCGTGCCATCGGGCACTTCCGCAAAGATAGATTGTCGTATAATTGTGGAATTATGAACGTCTAAATAAACCCATAGAGGCCGCGAACGGGCGGAACTAAAAGCCGCTCTGTCCGGGACAATGGCGCGGTTTGACTGCAACACAACACCCACCCGGGAGCGGGCATTATCTCTCCGGGATCAGCCATTTGATAGACGCTTGCTCATCTCACGAATTCATTTTGCGTGCCCGATATGCGTCCGGTCCTTTGTGCGAGCGCAAGAGTGTGGGGTAACAGTGTGCTCGAGTTTTGCGAGATAAGTCCTCTGAATGAGGAGTCTTTGAGTTTTTGCTCTTAATGGTATATTAGTTGTAAAATGTGGACGCTCTAATGTTTAGAGTCAAATAGGAACGTTGGTAACAGCTCGGAACTTGTCGTTTGGCGTCATTTTATTATTTATAACGTTTAGACATAAAGTTGACCCTTGCGAAATCTTCGCACAGTACCTACGTAATTATTACAGAATATATTATGTATAATAAGTGTACATTTTAAAAGTATTTCATTTTAAAGAATAAGTCACATCGCTATCTTTCATTTATAAAAATTGTCAATAGATTATTATCATTCATCATTTATAAGAAAACTTTTTAAGGAAAATCATTGAAACCATTAACTTGATTCTTCTATATTTTTCATCAATAACAGACAACATAATCTTCAAAATGGTGTCTGAATAATTAAATTTGATCAAGAATTATGGAAATTATGGCATAGGGACGAAAAACACCTTTAATAATAAATAATATGTAGAAATTATGAATAATTAATTAAGAATTCAATGAGACATGGATTTATTATGTACTTAAAATTACATGTTTGTAATTAAAAGTATTACTTTAATTCAATTGTGCTAAATTAAATGTCTGTTTTATTAAAATAGACCATCTTGAACATTTATGTAATATTCGTGTGTGAAAAAATTGTTTACTGATCAGTTGCGGCCTGTTACTAAGTTCATCCACAAAAAAGTGCATATAATTTAATCTTATATACTTATAAAATTCTCGTGTCATGGTGTTTGTAATTGAACTCTTCCGAAACAGCTCGACCGATTTTCGTGAAATTTTGTGTACATATCGGCCAGGGTGGAGAATCGGACAACACTTATTTTTCATCCCCCTAAATGTTAAGGGTGGTTTTTATGATACAGCATACAAAACTACTACATCCAAATTATTCACTCCTCTACGCAGACGTAGTCGCGGACAGCAGCTAGTCAATATAAATAATTAACATAGAGTTTACAATTTATATGCTGTAGGCAAATCTCTTTGATAAGTCATTTTATATGAATGTAAAATAATTTGCGGTCTTCAAGTTTATGAAAAACCTGGTTGCAAATGCATAATTTCGATTCCACAACTGCGAGTAACCCAATACTTTTAACTATCTGTCTCAGACTTATCCCGGTGCCGGATTTAACAATTGATTTCCGCTTCCTTTGGACAGATAACCGTACCACGCCCTTTGGGCTTATAAAGTGCGTTCACTCCGAATTCGTATGTATCCTCGCAAAATATCAAATCTTATTTATGATAAGTCATGACATATCTCAAACTGAGCCCTTTCTACTGCACTACGTTGAGAAAAAGCTCCAAAGAAATTGAATATTTTAAAAGAGAAGTGTGTTTTCTAAAATGTGTATTAATAAAAACTAATTTGTAGTTACTTTAAAAAAAATCTAAACAATTATCATTCATCAATACGCGTAGGACGGTGTTGACGAGGAGACAAAAACGAACACGTTGTAAAGTGCCAGTCCCGTAATAACATATTGAAAAAGGACGTAACGAAAGAACAGTGCTACTTGAGGATATCAATAAAATTCACAGTTTACGGCGCTCCCTGACGTGCGCTGTAAAGGCTTCAGTTTTCGGGTGTTATTTATTAACTTAGCAAGTTGGCTCGTTCCATTTTTTCACACGTCGCTCAAGCACTTAACCCTTAGTCGGACAAGTGGCTATTACAAACTTAAGAACGGCACAAAGTGTTTGCAGTAATTAAAAGGTAAAGCTCACCTCCCAAGCGTATCTCCTATCCAGCGGCTGCGTCTCCCACTTCCCGTTGAACGGTCCGTACTTCGTGCCGCTGGCGATGCTGGACCTCGCGAATATCCCACCGCCTTTCAGGATCAACTCGTCAGGGAGACTCAGTTCAGTGCTGATGTCTAACTCGCCGTGCTCCCTGTTCTCTTCTTCTTTCTCGTCAGAGCTCTTGTGCGACTCGAGAAACCTTTGACTCGGTAAATCTAGGGGCCTCGGCAGACAGTTCCGCCCATATTCGGCGAAGTTCGGCGGGAGATACGTATCGGGTATGCCGAAGTCCAAAGAGCCGTAGTACTCCTTGATGTCAGTGCCTGGGGCCATGGCCTCCTGTTTGATGTGCACTAAGGTGGGCGCTGACTCTGATGCAGCGGAGTCGGTGGGGCTCGGCGGAGGACTGCCAGATTCCTGGCTGTCACCTGCTGTAAACGAAATGAATCATTGAATTGCTATACCACGTGTTATGCCCTTCTTTTTTCAAAATTTAAATTTTCCGCGATAACGCGCCGAGATTGTTTCATTTAATATTATAATAAATATTTCTAATACCTATCTTACATATATAAAAATTGTAAACGGTCAAATCATAAAAACTTTGCCCGAAGAAGACGTAATAGGAATTTGCAATTTTTTTTTTCTATTTATTTGGTTTAACTCACATAAAATGAAGTAAAATGAAGTGCATCGGCATCTATATCAGCCAACGCATGTGAACCTGTCCGTTTTATTTTTCAGACAAAAATAAAATGATGGAATGCAAGATGGTGCTCGCATTATGCCTGATTTCCGTTCGCCACAAAGCGTTTCCGTTTGTCTCTTGGCACTGAGAGCATCCCTCCGAAATGCAAATCCAGTGCGAGATATCTGAATCCACTGGAGGAACTCCAGATAATTATTGAATGTGATTTTTTTTAATAATACACACACAGCCAAGAATGGCTATCACTCATACGATGAAAACCTTTAGATACAACCCTTCGTAAGTTATTAAGTAACATCTATATTCAGCCATTTGCAGTTAATAAAATACTTAATTTTTTTTTCTTATTTCGATATTAGCATTAAACCTTTGATGTCACTTGAGATGCTAATGCCTCTTGTGTTTCTTTTAAGAATAGAGAACAGCATCAATTAAATTAAACGGAATTCTAAGTATTTTTAAATACATATAAACGTAAAACATAAAACGTAGCTTATACACCACCACTGAAGAACTTTCGAAATAAAAAAGTTGCGATAATTCATTGTAAACTTCCAAACCGTACTCAGTCAACAACTGCAACTCGAAGGAAACAAATTGCGTCACTTACATTACAATGGCGCTGGCCTAATTCATTACAAAGTTAGCGAGGTGCGCGTGTCTTCAATAAAGCGCATCCCCCCGGCGAACACAAGTGAGAGAGACACACCATAAATCATAACGCACCCCATTACTACTAATATACTTGTTAAAACAACCCCTATCTTGTCAGTACGTCTTCCGCACGTGCGGTGGAAAAAAACACCATAAAATTAGACGCACGATCACAGTCTAATACAATATGAGGAATGATAACTGCTCAACATAACAAAGATGCATTGCCCATTAACAATGGGCAGGATATGCCTGAGCGTGTCTAAAGGATCCCCCTTTTGTGGATCCAGTTTGGTAAGAACTGCGCTCTTTTTAATGTTCGGTTGCTATGCCGGTTCACCTGTCGCGGTCTAGTTTTTTGAACACCACTTTTTAATACTGTCTTCGTTGACGCAGCCACAATATGTTTCGTCATTAATTCCTTAAACGTATTGATGAGTGCAATGATGAAACTTCACACAAACGAAATTTATACGAAATCGGCACTTAACTGAATCTAGGGAGAGCTATTGTTGATGGTGGTAGGGCCACGCAACGCAGTTGCACGAATGGGCAAGCTCGTTCGAGGAAATATGACGGTCCCACAGAAGACCAGAATGAAGTTGAAGTAATAAAATTGTGCGTTTTGTCTAGTAGGCGAGGTAACCAAGGCTTCCTGTTTCTTAAGATTGCAGTATACGTCCATGGGCAGCGTTAATAACTTAACATCAGGTGAACTGCTTGCTCGAATGCAACTTTTCACATAAAAAACCATATAACGGACATAATTGTTTGCTGTTTATACTTTAAATAATATCTGGACATTCAAGAGTTCATTCAAGCCATGGCATTCTCTTTTCAGTGAAAAGTCGATAATCCAGTCGCTGACTCGCCTTAAGATCTTTGATTCACCTCCAATGTTAGTTGAACATTTAACTCTTCTGAATTCAATCATTACTTGAAATTATTTTTATAGCGTAGGAATTATCTCTATCTTCAACTGAAACCAAGGGTCATAGATAAAAATTAAATCATACCGCATGTTGCATTACATCTTAGTCATTCCTACAATACTCGATACAATGGCCATCAAGAAATCACTTTGATGAAATATCATAAATCAGCTACGCATCGGCTAAAGAATATTATTAATTATTCGCAGGCATACATTACGAAGTCAATGTGTCTGGCTGCCATGCTAAAACGAGGTGTCGTAAAAAGCGCGTTCGAATTTCAAATTCAAATTAGCGATGGCAGGGTCCATTTGGCGCGCGCGCTGCGTGAGCGGACAATGCGGACGAGCCGTCGTTAAATCTCCGGTTTCCGCAGAAACTTTGCGGACTTAAAATAAGAGCATGGCCCATGGCGAAAATCAAATGGTGTGAAGGAGAAGAAATATAAAAATTCATAAAACCATTTCTTTTACGAAGAGCATGCGTAACCATACCGCAAACAAAATATTTAAATTCAAATTAAATTAATCTGTTCAAAATCTAAATTTTGAAAATAGTTGAAAATTACGATACACAATTCGTTATTTCTAATTATAAGTATTTTATATGATAAGTAATTTTATAATTTATCATTTTGTCAGTCACATTCGAAACGATTAATAAACAAATAATAATAACGAATCAGAATATCTGCAGATTTCTAAAAGCACTCGATACGATGAGCCGTGATAGCTCAGTGTCCGAGCGCTCGCCTTTAATTCAATATATACTCGAGCAACCTGAATTCGAACCCCGGTGCCGGCACCAATGAAGTTTTTAAACTTTAAGTGCTGACTTATCAACTGCTCCGCGGTGAAGGAAAACATCATCAGGAAACCTCCATATTTTCGAAATAATAACTAAAAATATATATATATTTCGAAGATATGTGAAGTCCGCCAATCCGCAGTGGGGCCGCGTGGTGGACTTTGCCCTGATACCTTCTGTATAGAGGAGGCCTTGTTACTTGTGGCCCGAGGTTACTTGTGTTACTTTTACCCTACTTTACTTTTATCGATACGAAATGTCATCGTGATTATATACATAATGATAACTTTAAAATTTCGTGAGAAATTTAAATTTATAATAAATTATTATTTATTTCAGACCATAGATCCAAAAATTAAAATTAAAATACAACTCACAAAAAATTCTAGAAAAAAAACTAAAATAACTTATTTACTATAACTAAATGTACTAACATATTTTAATTGTAGTCTATTCACGTATAAACTAAATGACAATATCAAGACAATTTTCTAGTATTTTAAAATGGATTGTATGTTAAAGTGTTTAAAACGTTACAGGGGTTATTTCATACATGGAACATCAAAGAAGATATTTATTTTCTAATGATTGCTTAAAATTCATCGGTGCCTGTCCGAACATAGCTGAAGTAGTACAACATTTAGTTGACCCTAAAAGCATCCTATATGCATGGTATGGCAGTTCCTAAATATATGTGATTTGTGTTATATGGATGGCACTCACAGTTCCTAAATATATGTGATGCCAATATAGTTCCTAAATATATGAAATATCCGCGGCCACACATGGCCGCGGATATTACTTGTGCGTGGACCCTACGGCAAGCCGATTTCACGAGTTAGCCACGGCGACTGACAATACACGGTTCGCGTCGCTCTGTCTCCGCTGAGGCGACGGCCCGGCTTGCACTCGCCCATAAAATACTCTTAAACGGCCGCACCAACTTACATTTTGCGGTCGCCCACGACCTCATATCTAAGAGGAAGAGTTAAGGTTAACATCTCTCAACTTCATAACGTTCTTTGCCGGCGAGCAATAGTGCATTTAAATAGGCGTACAAACGACTCGCCTCATCCGATATGCGACAGCTGAGCTTAGTGCTAGTCGTCCGTTTGACGACGTCTTAAGAGGGATTCGTAGAAAGCGCAACTTTCTAAATCTCGGACAGCGCATAAATATCGAATTATGTGTCACGAGCGTACGCGTATCGAAATTAACTTAAGTACTTCTTTTGGTCAGGGCTTTTCTTATGGTGATTCTGATCCTGTTAGGGTCAGTCTGCTAACGGTTTCGAATCCACATCACATCTATGTCTAGTGCCTTAGGTTTTCGCAATCAATGAAGCAGTCACTTATCGTTCCCTGCTTGGGTCAGGTCACTATGAAGTAGGAATCATTGACAACTATTAAACTTACAGATTACCTAAAATACAAGAAGGCGGAAATCTTTTTAGTGTTACTCATTAAATTTATTTCTACGATATTGGAATAGCGGGCGCTAGAGACGAGATAATTGAAGTTTTTTTTTTATAATAGTTTACACATAACGAGAGTAGATGCCATAGTAATTAATGTTTCAATATCAAAATATTGTCTCATTACTAAAACTGTAAACCAAATGCCACAGTCAATGATAACAGGCAAGACTATAACAAAAAAGCACCGGTGTCGTATTGTCAAAAGAAATACATTTCGCATATCAACCGTCCAAACAAACTTCATCTGCCTAAGCTGTGTCAAATTAGCTCTATAAACAAGCCTTAATCCCCGGCGGCGGCGGTCCAAAAGGTACACTTGACTATGTTAAGGTGACAAATTGACTTTGCCAATAACCACATCCATCCGAGACTTTTCGGGTTGTTCGCACACTCTTAACAGAAACAGATAACACTCCAGTGTACGCAAAAAAATGGACAAGGCTCTGTTTGCCGAGGACTTGGAATTTCTCACGATCGTTACACAAAATCGAATATTTCAAGCAAATAACTATTATACATTACCTCTTCTACCACGACGAAGTATTGTAAAATTAATTAATTGAAAGCTAAAATGTGATATTGATAGATTAATGAACATTTATTATTTTCATTATTTTGTCACAAAGTTATGGATTATTATTTATTAATAGTATATTCTGAAGAAAACAAAATAAAACGTGCAAAATATATTTCGCAAAAAATCAGTTGTATCATTTATAAAAAGGTTAACAGTAAGTTTTTTATGAACAGTTTATATTTCATAGTTTGTTCTTCAATTATAAAAAGCTTATATGGTATCTTGAGAAAAAGCAGCATAACTTTCTGTTACAAGTTGCTTTAATTATTACTTTA